TGGTTTTTCTTTTATCGCCACTGTGGTGTGCTGATATATTCATGGAGGAGTTTGTTCGACCTTCGACTGGGCTGCCACTTGAATCTGTGGCTTCTGCGTTTATAGGCAACTTGTCACCTCCATACTCTCTGTCGCTATCTGTGCCCAAATCAAAACCACGGTGCGACAACTTCGTTGGGGACAACGCATACTTGGTCGAGTCTCCAGTGTCCCCGAACAATCTACCGTACATGTCATAAATCTCGCTGCAGTTGAAGTTCCTGTACTTCGCATACTTTGGGTTCTCCTGCAAACACGAGGTAGACGACAAATGACGTGGGAGTCCGAAATAAATTCAAACTTTGTGCGTGTACATGTATCCATTGCTTCAAATACATACCGGAAGGAGTAATACTGTTCAATCAATAGCAACCAGACCAACATCATGTTCAATCATTACGAACACAACAAACTACAGGTTCTACCAATACCAACACGGCCAGTACATAAGAATCTATAAAAACCAACACAACCAACATCAAGTTTCATAAATACCAGGACAACCAACATCATGTTTAGGATATTACAAAGACAACCAACATCAGGGGCGTGATGTGTGTAAAATGATATATCAAGCAAGAACACTCTATATTGTTGCAGTGTGCAAGGTTATAAAAAGAAAGTCCTCTGCCAATTTGCAGGTGCATTAAAATGTGCAAAAATACCTTAATTTTTGCTTCCCACCAATGGTCAGGGGCGTGAATTCTTCCGGTACCCGAGAGATACTCAATTCCAGTGCATCGCAACAACTCAAACAGAAGTTTGTGATCCGTTCGCAGTTTATTCCAATAGTTCTTCATCTGCGTTGTCGTCCAGTCCTTCCCCGTCGACGAGTTGAACAGGTCTGATATTCGTTGCCATCCTTTCGAGGAGAAGCATTTGCCTCGTCGGTGACCCTCAAATATGACAAGTTCGCAAGTGTCAATGAACGCTTTGTGCTCCAGCTGGTTCCATCTCGCCGTCTTCCGCACCTCGCCCGGGGCTGCCTGCGACTTGGAAGAATGAGGGTGCAAATTCGGTGGGCAGAGACTTGTGAACTGCTGCCATGGGAACAACCACAGGAGGCAGGTAATTTTGATAAACATCAACGAATTCACAAGAATCAAATTCGGAATAGGTGGAACAAGATTTCAGGGAGACGTATGCATCGCGGGATCGACATAAATTTATGTACAAGTCCATCAAATTGGAGTCATACCCATGTGAAACAAATGACAAAAATGGTATAAACGGGTAGCAAATGGACAGAGGATACTGCTAGCAATTAAATTTGAGGAATGGTTTACCGCTTGGTCGGGGGAAGTTTGCCACTGCGAGAAGTCGTGGTCCATGGAATCCGGACACAAATTCGTGGTAGAAGCAGGGTTTGTTGCCGGAGTTCCAACCGGATCGAAGCCTTGAACAGGGACAGGAGAAGGAAGTGAGAAAAAATACAAAACTTCGATTCACACAGTTACAAAATGGCTGGTGTGTACCTGGATTTTCAGCGAAGTGACGCCCCTGGTTTTTCTCAGGCGAACTTGCCGTTCGCGACGTCGCAGATCGCCGAGCCTTACGGTTTGAGTATGCTAATTGGAGAGGAGTGGTTGGAATGGGAAAGGGAAAATTGATTGTAGATGCTGAAGATGGGGGCAAAAATGGAAAGATTTTACAACGGGAGGAATGGTTAAAAAATTGGGTTCCTAACAACTTTCTTGACTTTGGGAAGGCATGTCTGAACTTACTGTAGGAGAAATTGATTTTTGGGCCAAAAAAGGGGTTCCAAACATAGGCTAAATTTGAAATGAAAAATTTAAAATTCTGGTGGAATGTAATTTCCACTATTTAAAATATGCAAAATATTACCCAAAGTGGATAATCTTTGACCGACAACTTTATACTGAAAACCAGCTGAGTATATTGCACGTGAACAACAATATGACAACAATTTAAATTTAAATTCAAATCTAAAATTTGATTTTAAAATCTTCACCAATAGATACACTATACTTACAGCCTTTAATAAATAAAACTGGAACAGTCCTTACACCACACCACGGGTAAACCAAAACGGCTGAAACTACGACTGACCAAGTAGAAATAACCCACCTGAATCTGTAATAATTTTGACCAAGGTTGGAGACGAACCTGAGCTAGAGCATCCCACCCACGAATTCCATTAAATCTGGACGGAAATGAAGCTGAACTAGTAACCGAAGGCGAACTTTGAAACTGCCGGACTGGGAACAAGCTGGTCAAACAATTTCCCTGTTGAAACTGAACCAAGACACCATCTGCACTGAACAGAAACTGTCTTGACCATGAACGAAGCCTGAGCTGAAATCCACAGTCCGCCAGCACCAAAATCTGAATCTATACTAAGCTGAAACTGAAACCGAGCCTGAGCAAAACATGTCTGAACTTAAGAAGCTAAAGCAACCACCAGAACAGAAGTTGAAACACAGAAACCCAGAATCTGATATGGCCGAAACTAATGAAGAAAGCTCAATCCAAACAACGGCAAAAACTTATTTCCAAAGAACAACACTAAGAAACCAAGAGCCCGTTCAAATTTTACTATGACAGAAACAAAATCAAAACTGAAAACAGTATGCTTAATTCAATTTCCACCAATGAGAGGTAAAAATCGAACCAAACACGAGAAATCTCAAGAAATCAAAAGCACTCAAGTAGGACTTTCTATCACTAGAGTTAGATCTTCTCTCTCTAAACTTGACTTTTTGCAAACCAATTTTAAGTTTTTATAAAGAGGATTACAATTTGTTACCTCATTCTACTTTTAGCGATGGGGACGTTCCCAGTGTGGCTTGGGAAACAACGTCTAACGCATTAGGAGCACAAGTAGGAAGATTGCCAAGGTAGGAAAGCAAGCTTGTGCAAGACAATTGTTCGCGTGAAACCCGCAAGCGTACGGGATCATTGTACAAGTAGTAAAATATGTGAGTTAAAAGAGTATCGTTCCCACGAGAAATAATATCTAATTTGTAGTTCAATAGCTACTATTAAATTCGAAATATGATAGCATCAAAAGAGTTGTGATTTATTT